TATCAGAAATATTAATGAAGAAATTGAAAAAAACAGACAAACATACTATATAACTCTATATGCATTATTTATTTTGCTTTTTATGTAACAAATAGGGAACATGTTTATAAAGTTAATCATTAGTTTACATATTGCTTATATACTGCCTTCGATTGATATAATAAAGTCAAACTCAAAGGTAACATTTTTGGTAGTTTACGTCTTCGATTGTCTTCGATTGAATATTAGTCTGAACAGGTGTGCTGAAGCTTCCGGAACTCAAATAATATGCTCATTAGCAAGAAGGTACTACGCTCATTGTCAAGTAGGGAATACACTATCAGTTTTAACTTTTATTGATCGATACATTGTTAAGAGTTAGGTACCCTTAGTTGCGTGAAATGTGTAAAGAAAGAAAGAAAGAAACATTTATTGCAGCACACCTCAAACATCATTAGGCAGTAAAATTTTAATATTTCTAGACACAAATTCATAAAAGTACGTAGATCCAAGTACATAGAGGGAAAAGTACTTAGAGAATGTGTTTCAATTAAGACATGTTGAAAAACTTAATAAATTATGTGTCGCCTATTACTGAGACAGTGCGTAAAAATTGCTCTCATATTACTGAACTCTGTACCGATCCTCAATCAAATGTGTGTGATTTAGTCAATGTTGCTAGCTTAAAAATAATATATTGTGTTTTTATAATGATAACACTATATATTTAAAAACAAAGATCCGCATTATTGTTGTTTAGTTCAATAAAATGATTATAAAGGTTGTCTGGAAGAGATCGCTCTTAGCGATAAGACCGCTCTTTGTACCGCATTTCTGTCTCTAATTTTTTTTTGTTAATATTTATGTTTTTTGGCGTGCAATCAATATCAGAAATAAAGACAAAAAATATCTATCTATCGAAAATAATTTACGCTCCCTCAGCATGGAGTTACAAATGTGTTAAAACAGTATTAGGAATACACTCCTTATTATTTCTTCCTTCCTAACATAACGGCGTTTTCCGTACCTACATTTAGCGTATTGTCAAATACCCAGCCCCAAAACAATTATTTTTCGTTTATTGTCGCCTCTACACGTTGGCCAACACAGTGGCGAATGTAGTGGCCAATAGCATTGGCCAACGTGTAGACGGGGTGTTTGGGCTTCATTGGTATGTATTGGAACGATGGCCCGCAAGTTGGCGCGAGATCCGTGTGTCGTGTCGGTTTTTTACAAAAGATCAAAGGAGTGTTGGCAGAGTTTGGTCGCCGCGTCCACACGAAGTATAGTTGTAGCACGAATGGGTCGGTTCGACCGGGGAAGGACCACGCTCTCACAGAATATCAATGTAAAATAGTAGCTTAATGATGCTGTGTTTCGTATAGTAGTGAGTGTAGAGAACCAGAGACACTTTTTAAGGAAACGAGGCATTCCATCTCAGTCCTCACGGGTGACAACGCATCTGCATTTTGATTCGTAATCGAGGATAGATGTAGATGTCTGTGGGCCACAGCAACCACTTACCAGCAGGTGAACTGTGTGCTCGTTTGTCACCCTATCCTATATAAAAAAGCGTCGATTTCTTATAATTTAATCATGCAAGTTTTCGAATCATCATCATCATTACAGCTCTTCACAAGTCCACTACTGAACATCCTCCTCCAAAGAATGCCGCAAAGCATGGTCCTGAGCCACTTTGCTTGTCATGAGTTTTTCATTTATGTTCTAAGTTACAATTAGTACCTATTATTAAGTCAGTGTTAATTATATTTATTGCTATTGTTTTTGTCTTTCTCAAAAAATAATTAAATTACCAAATAAATTATAAGGTGTTTTTTATATACATCAAATGTCTGATAGAAAAGCAAGTACATGTTTTGCTAAACTTTAAAAACAAAACCCAATTTTAAAACATAGACTAATCGATTATAACTCCTTTAACTTTAAAATAAGTTAAGTTCTAATTAATGGTATTTATTCCAGTTTCTGATGCATGTAAAGAATAAATAAAGCTAATCGTATATCGTATATCTATTTACAGCTCCATTAATATCAACTATTCTTTTATAATTTTTTTATAAAAAAGGTTATCCCACGCTTGGATTTTCTCCTGTATCGCGGAGGCAGTTTACAAACATAAATTGCACAAGGACACACATCCAGACCCGGAACAATTAGTTGTAGGACATACAAATACTTGTTCCGTGCGGGATTCAAACCCGCGGCCCCCGGCACAGCCACTCATTGCTAAGCCACTGCGCCATGGAGCCGTCGTCCGTCCGCACTCCGCACCGAAGTAAACTGAACGACCTTCCAACGTGTGGACGCCGTCACCAACTCTCGGCCAATATATTTGCCACTACATTCGCCACTGTGTTGGCCAACGTGTAGAGGCGACATATGGCATACGAGTACTTGTTCTGTACTAGCATACTAACATCGTACCCCCGTCACCCAAAACAGCTGTATAAGTTCTACGAATCGAGACAAAGTCGACACTTACGGAAAAGTTATCATCAAATGAACGACACACATCGATGACTAAACTTTATCGATTTTATAAAAATAGAATTCAGAGTGCAGCGAAGCAATTGCGCTACAATACATATGCTGAAAGTCATTCGGCAGAATGTTTTAGGTCACCTCTTTCTGTTAGATATGATTTATTACTATCGATAATTCGTCATGCACATGCCATGTGGTGGCGGTAACAGAACATCCATTACCCCATTTCATCCCGTGGGTTCGTAATGGGCGACTATGGGATATACCAGAAAGACCTTATAGCTTCTGCATTTGCGCCAGGCGTAAAATACTCAAACGTAAGATACTGAGATCGTTAGTCCGCCTGCCAAGTTTACCGATTGGGGCAAATCCTGCAATCACATCGGGAGAGTTCCGTGTTCATCACTGGACTTTTGCCAGCTGATGATGGTGATAATACTTCGATTTTTTAATGAAACTAAAGTAACAAATGAACTGTCTACCTAAAGTAAATTGCCTTTGCAGCACATGGAGACCTGTAACTAAAAACAAAGTAGGGTTCAGATGCTCCGTTACCTCTAAGGAGTGACGTGGAATACGTCACAGCCTGTAATTATGCTGGATCTATACCATTCAGAGATGATCCGTGCAGTCAGTTTTTTTACGTGGTGGAGCCACACTGCAGCTATGTTATGTTTGTAGCACAAATGGATCGGCTCGACCGGGGAAGGACCACGCTCTCACAGAATACTGGACTAAAACAGCAGCCTAATACTGCAGTGTTTCGTTTGGTGAGTGTAGAGATCCGGAGACCCTTTTTTACTGGAAACGAGGCTTTCCAACTTAGTCCTCAGGAGTGACGACACATCTGCATTTCGATTTAAATCGAGGATAAATGTAGATGTATATGAGCCACAGTATCCACTTACCATAAAAAGGGTCTCCGGTTCTCCACACTCACCGTACGAAACACAACAGCCTTTAGCTGTTATTTTACGATGGTATTCAGTGAGAGAGTGGTACAACCCCGATTATAGCCGAACCATTTTTTTTTGCGCCCGAAGCAAATATGGGCAACCCTCCGAAAAGCGGGGGGAGGGAGGTCGAGAATGCTCATAGCATACCACGCAGCCGGCTGCGTGGTTATGTGGTGACTTTTACCCACTAAACTCAACCTTTTAGGAATTGGCTTAACGATCTGTGTAGAGATCTCTAAGCCGTATACGAACGTGACCCTCCTTGGCAGAAAGGAGGGCGCACCGAACCAGCCGAACCATTCGTGTTACAACTAATATAGCTGCGGCGTGGCTCTACCACGTAAAGTTATTATTTGATAACCGTGCTGCATAGCGGTCATATTATCAACTGACTGCTACGCCGTAGACCCTTCGAATCCAAATTGTAGTAACTTCGTGACGGGAGTGAACGTTAATGTATTTATGTATGTGAGTAATAAAATTGTATGAAAATCCTTATGAAAGTGTTTTCGTAACGACAGATTCCCGCGGCGTTATGCAGAGCATAAATTCCGTAAAGCGCGCCGTACGGTTATACATATTTTGCCGAAAACATTACACGAGACTGAAAACTAAAGCATTTACATAATTCTACGTTATATTTATGTGCGGCTGTTATGACATTATCGTAATGCTCAAGTCTAAATTGAAATTTAATGGGATACCAATAGATATTACTGATAGCCCTTTAGTTTCAAACTGGTATTTTGTGATAAATTTGTTAACATTAGTGAACAAGAAAACGTTTATGTGTATATTCCACACGTAAGAGCAGAGCGAGCTGCTGGGGCGGCCTTGCGCCCGCCTAAAGATAAATCAGTAAATTACTTTTAAAATGTATACACCCTAATGCTCTTAAAATTTTGCACATTAACATATAACAGTTCTCCTTAAATTACTTCTGCAGCCCGTAAATAACTTAAACTAGCTTCAAACAAAGGAGGCCATAACTGCGTCTTCACCCTTGGGGAGTAAGATAAAATGCCTCAAAGCCCGTAATTACAATGGCACTTCCACAACATATATGAAGCATAAAGTTGAGTCGAAGGCTGTGGGATCTTAGTCAATCGGGTGAAGCTGTGCCCGTAGTGGTTGTGGAAGGTTACGAGCGGGGCGGGTGCGACAGAGGGCGCTCGCGCGGCGCCTGCGCGCGTAGCTGGTGGCGGCGCTGGCGTCGTGACGCAGTGTGACGTCAGTGAACCGTCGGCTCGATACGCGCTGGCCCCTTCGTCAGTCGCCGCCCGAAGCAGGCCGCCGAACGTCGCGCCCTACGCGCCTCTGCCAGTGCACTCTCATACCGGGTTCAGTTCAGTACCACGATGACATAGCCCCCAGTGCCGTGCAACGAGGCGACGTGAAAGCGCACACCTTTTAAGTTTTTCCTTTGTAACGAGGAAGCCGTAAAGGTCCCCCGTTGTTGCAGAACTAGAGACAGTCCATATCGCTCCGCCGAGGAACGTACACGAGACCGACAGGCGGCTTGCTCTTTTATATCCGCCTTATCCTTAGAAACTTACAAAAATGGGCGAGGTGAGTGGAAGTGTCGCTTGCTGTAGTACTTATGTTGGCCTTTGTAGTTATCAGTTTCGGCGTCCAGTGTCTTCGTGATGTGAGTGCATGCTTACAGTGATTGCGGAAGATTTGCCCGACCTCCGCACTTAAGCAGCAGTGCCCGGACGCTGCTTGTGTTAAGTGCTTGCTGCTCCGAAGCATGTTCATTGTTATTTATTCCTTAGATGTTCATTTGCACGTTCCTTTGTTCTGTTCCCTGATGTTCATCAGAATTATCAGTCTTCACCATTAAATCCATTTCATTTGTTTTTTATGCTCTTTGTTTTATCTTATTACGATTTTAGTTCTAGTTAGTTTAGATCTCTTTAGTTTTCTAAAGCAAAGATCGGATGACAGGCTTTAGGAGACGGCGCCGACCTGGTTGCGTAACTGTCCGTATCGATCTGTTCGGTGGGAGGGACACCGCTGTATGGCCTTCTCATACACCACTAATCATACCCCATACACCCTAGTCTAATTTGATTTCGAAGCTTATCAATTAAATATTTAAAAGAAATTGTAAATTTTTATAACATTTATTTTTCGTCAAGTGGCCTTTTGTTCGTTTTAATTTATTTTTAATCCTTATCAATTAAAATCTTTATTGAAATCATTATATAAAATATTATGTAATCATGTAATGAAATATTTGTAACGCTAATATGGTGCAATCCATCCAGGGCTTCGACACCGTTTACTACCAGGTAGGATTGTAGTCGACCATCGGCTTAAAGTAAGTAAAATAAAACTAAGGTGCAAATTATAGTTCTTTTGAACAGCGCCAAGCAGATGTGTACGACAAATGGGTTATATTCGTTGGGGTCTTATAAAGAATAGCTCCTCGCAAGGTGTCCTGAAGGAAGTAGCTAAACAGGTTGTGTCGAGTGTTGGCAGTGCCTCGGGCCCGAGAACTATAAGAGCACCGAAGGTTTATTAGAAAATTGCCTCGTCATTATGTCATTTAAATCGCATAGAGTGCCGTCGCTCTATTGGAGTATTTCCTTTATCCTTTATGACGATAGCACGCACGCATCAATTAGGTTGCTAGACGAGGTCCTTGGTGTGTTTCCCATTAGTCGACTAAAATTTCAATTACCACCTACTTTGCGGTTTTATCTACAGTTCGAATTTCAAAATAACATCTTACGTTTCATTGTGTATTCAATTTCTTACCAGAGCCGTATTATATTTGTTCTAAATATTACGAAATATGTAAGCGATGTAATAATTTTTTTGCCGAATAAAGCATTAAATTACAGAATAATGATTGTTAACCGACATAATATTAGAATAGAATATTTTAAAAACCTTTTGTTTCCGCACGATTAAAAACGTTTTTCATCAGTTTCTTTCGATAAATGTATTCGCACAAAGTAGTTCGAACACAATATTTTTGATATCCCTTGAAAGTATAAAATATACAGCTATATATACAGGTTAAGGAAAAAGAGGACGTTAGTGAACCTATATATTTTATAAAAAACCTCTCGGCGATCTTTTGGAACTTCGTTATGCTACAGTTTTTATGATTTTTTTTTATTTTTCCGCAAAATATTATTACGTAAAAAGTGCTAAAAGAAAAGCATAGTAAAAATTAAGTTACAACCTATACGTCCCACCGCTTGGCATAGGCCTCCCCTTAAATCTGAGGGGCTTATTGGCTTTTCATTTCTGTTGAGCTTATGGAATAATTAGTCCGCCGCACTGTTCTGTCGCTGTGAGTGTTGACGGACATCACATCTCTAAATATTTTATGCCTGAGATCAGTAAGTTACCCCTAGATGATTCTTTCCGAGCACGAATTTAATCAATACATTCTAATTTACTATTCTGTTGGTGCCGGCGGAGACCAAACGCAGATTTCTCGCGTATTAGAATCGGCATGCCTCTTAACTACCACTGCTCTGAGACATTTGTCTTTCGTCGTGCTTAATTCATGTAAATGTAGAGTAATATGTAATAACACTTTATTTATTTTTGCCGTGGAGCCGTGGTAGCCCAGTGGTTAACGCTCGCTGTGAATATAACAGAACGCGAGTAACCCGGGTTCGATCCCCGCCGGCACCAATGAAATTGTTAATTGCAATTTTAAGTGCTGATTTACCACGTGCTCGGCGGTGAAGGAAAACATCGTGAGGAAACCTGCATGTCTGAGGAATAAGAAAAAAAATATTTCGAAGACATGTGAAGTTCGTCAACACGCATTTGGGCAGCGCGGCGGACACTTCCTTGCCCTAAACCCTCTCAGAAATGAGGGGAGGCCTGAGCCCAGCAGTGGGACGTATATAGGCTGTAACTTTACTTTACTTTTTACTTTATTTATTTTTGCCTTTATCATTTAAGAAATAAAAAAAGATTTTATTACTAAAATAAATCATTATCATCGTGTTTTTGTAACCGAGTTCTTATAGCTGCCAATTTCAATATGCATTACTCAATGAGATTAGTCTATAAAAATCGTTTAAATTTCTAAACTAATAAAAAGATTCGCGTAGGCCGCGGCATTCAATTTTAACAAGAACAATTTATCTATCTAAAAGAACTACTATATTACATCTCAGGAAAGAAAGGAAATAATAATCTTTTAATATTAACGTTATAATAATAAAATATGGAACATTTTCGACCCGGGGACCATATGGATGGAGAAGAAGCTCGATAAGGCTCTACACGAGCTTTTAGTAGACCCAACTCTCCATCTTTATTGGCTGCGTTTCGGGGGCATCATTGAGGAAACCGAGGACTTTGTGTGTGCCATTCGGGTCAAGTTATTAAGACCAATAATTATTAGAGACGCGTCCTAAAGGATGGTACCGTCTACATCTGTCGAGAATGTCGCCATCCCGGCGAGTTTTATCTCCGGTTGTTCAGCGCTTTCAATCTCTACTCATTTACGCAGACACAAACTAGTGGCTATGACCTTACACCAGGAGCTTGCTCTGAGATCTAGTCTCTGTAGATCGGATCTGTAGATCGGAAACTGTCTTATGATAAGTAACGTGCTCATAATTGAACGCACCCGGCTCTATTGGGTCCGGGCCATCTTCACAGATAGGAATATTCGTGCGAATAAAAAAATCCCGACATAGTGTTCTTGGACTGGGCACAGTCAAGGATATTTTTGGTTGAAATTACCATTCCATATGATAAGAAACTTATGAATGTCGTAACAGATAAGAAAACAATATATCTTGTCGTGGCTTACTAAGTAACCAATATTTGGGATGGTTTGCTAATCAAAATTATTCTTGTAGCCGTTTCTGCGATTAGACACGGCCAGCCTCTCGGGTCATCTAAGGCGACCTAGACTCCGTGGTAGAATTCGCAGGGTTCAAATACGAAAGGCGGTGCACTTCAATAGCACCCGCATCGACCGTTGGTTTCTTTTCCTTTTCCTTAACCCTCCGCCGTTTGGTATGCTCCGCCGTTTGGTATCCCCCGCCGAGCGCTTCTGGTTGGAATTTCTTTATTAATTTTACTGTATTTTTTTTAAATATAATATACTATTAATTTTAAATAGTGAAAACCATAGACTACTTTGTATATGTATTATCTTATTGTCAGTGTTCTATGCTGAACACGATCTTAGTCATAGTAGTTTGTAACTGCATAATATGTTTTTGAGTATTTCTTAAGCCCAACCAGACGAGACCACTTATTTACTTCATAGATAATACCTAATAATAAATTACAGATAAATGAACGTTATAAAAATGCTTGGGAACATACCTCCACATTCATTCAGATGAAGTGAATTAAAACACATGCTTAATCGGGTTAACAACAAACGCACGAGACTTGGCTTGGCTTTTGGCACAGTTGGTGTGACGTTGTCGGTACGCCGGTCAAAAACAATTATCTCATTCACAGTCTACTACGATAGTAACGACAAAATTTCGGTATAAAGCGGTATCGTGACCCTGGCAATGAATCTTCGATCACTGACACAACTGAAGCTATTCGCATCCTGTTCAAGTCATCAATGGGTGTTTTCGAATCTCTGTCAATTGTTTTGTCATAAACTGTTTAAATATGCAAGAATTGAACGAATTTTAATTAATCCTATACCTTTAAACGAGCAATTCTTGTATATATATATTTTCATAAAATTTTGTGTGCAGGGAGTTTCGGGCGCAATAAATCGATCTAGCTAGGATTTATTTTTAGAAAATTTCTTTTTGTCCGTGTTTTTAGGCAATGAAAAACTGCTACAATATCGTTAGAATAAGAAGGTAAATTTTGACAGATTATCAATGAATACAAATAGCTTAATTGGTATATTGGGCGGTCACAAAATCGTAATACCATGGTTCGAGCCCAGACCGACCGACCGACTTTTTTTTAATTTTTTTTCAAGTTCCTTTCTTTTTTGCGAAAATGAGAAATCTATTTTTTCGAGCCTTTTTTTTTAGTATTTTTTAAAAACACAAAAATTTAAATTAAACTAATTGTACTCATGATTTTTTATTCAAATAACCGGTTCAGTTTTTTCTATTATGTCGCTAAGATCAAAAAATATTATTCGAATTTCATCAGTATGTAATTTGTATCTAAATATAATTTCCAAAACACACGAATTAAAAAAAACCGATCAACCTGGTACTGTATAATAATAGCTTCTCGAGTGGCAGCCTCGTACCGGTAGGCGTAGTGTAGGGCGACCCCCCGCTAGATGGAGCGACGACCTGGTAAGACATGCAGGAAGTGGATGGATGCAGGTGGCTCAGGACCGTGCTTTGTGGCATTACTTGGGGGAGGCCTATGTTCAGCAGTGGACTTGTGAAGGGCAGTAATGATGATGATGATGATGAATAGCTTCTAAGTATCATTCTTCTTTCTAATGTAATATGGATCACACTATGAAAACTTTATTCAGGAAATTAAGGCATACTTACTTTGTATTGTATTTAATAAATAAATTCAGAACCGTCCCCTTTCTGGGTATCTCCCCATGTTCCTAACAGTACGCTTTCCAAAACGCCAGCAAACAATCTCAAAAGTTATTTATATTCCTTTGTTTTTTTTTTGGTGATTTCTGGATCTCGACAATAGCGCCGTCTACCGGGGCCAGTTGTGAATCTTTTAGATCATCCTGGAACTCATTCAACACACACAAAAAATTTCATCAAATCGGTCCTGCCATATTCGAGCTTTCGCGAGGCTAACGGACACCTCATCCTCTTAACTCTTACCTCATCGGAGCTGTATTGCGCGTGTCGCTTCAGCAGCTGGATCTGCTGCTAGACACAAGACAGTAGTTAGCACGTCAGTACTGCAGCAGTACCTGATCGGAGTTGTGTTGCTTCATTACAATCCGCTGCTGAATATGGGCCTCCCTTACAAGCTGCCAAAAAGCACGGTCCTGATCCTTGTGCCACTATGACTGCTAGTGGGTGTTAGCTCCTCACTGCGCTTTTATTACAAAGCTGGCATTTGAAAAGCTTCCTCATCAGTTGTTTGGTTTCTGAGCTTATATGACCGGTCACTTTAACTTACTGATCAGTTTGTCTACTTCAGTTACTACTCCGTTGTAGATATCCTCCTTAGAAATTTTATCTAGCAGAGAAAACTTGACTATAGCTCTCCTGACTCACTGAGTGATAGAGTTTCCTTATAATGGACCACATCTTGGTTCCGTAAGCTATCATTGGCAACATGCTCTAGCCGTACACATTTTATGTGTGATATATAGTGTTAACTAAGACATGAAAAACGTTGAACATCACAGTCACAGTTCCGCTGACCCCCATGGTGTTTCAGGTCACTCGGTAAAAGTCAATAAAAAAAATTATTCTATGTATATTGCTTAAGTAAATATTAGAAATTATTACATTCACGTTTATTTTAACAACCTTCGAAATACGGCCCAGCTCCTGGAAGGAAATTGGATTATCAACCAAAAACATAAATTATTCAATGTAGCTATTGGATGGTAAATTTGCATTTAATATGAAACTACCAACAGATGTGATTATTTAATTTAAAATTTATATTGTATTATCTACATTTAATGCTGACGACAAAGTAAATGTTTAATCTACTGTAATATATCTGTAACAATTTGAACAAGAGGGCGAGATATTCGAAAAAATCCTGGAAATCTAGAATCAAAAGTCTCCCTTTCATAACTGTGAGGATTATATGAGTCCCTCGCGCTGCTTCAATTCGTATTGACGTATGTACTTCGCATGTCGTTCAAATAATTTTCTGTAATTTTTTAGGTATAACCTGCATTCTAAGAAATTAGAGAATAATGTTTTTCACGATATTTACCTTTACGCTGATTACGTGCTAAATCAACACTTAAAACTGTAATATTAAGTGTTCATTTGACAGTAGTCTGTTCTTGTTGTGCTGACGTGCATGAAACTCCAGGAGCTTACGGACTCTATTTTATTTTGCCCCTTTAAACTCCCTGCGTATTATTAACGTCATTTCATATAATAAGAACTTATTCTCATCAAGTCCGGTTTCGATTTCCATCTGATATTCCGGTTTAACCTTTGAAGAGATTATAAAACGCGGGCGCTAGGGCTGTGCGGGGAGGCAACCTTGTCGTTTAGCTATTTATGTCGAGGGTAGGAAACGGGGGTTTGGCCGTACGGCGCATGCGTAGTTGAAGCCGCTTATGTAACTTGGGCGAGCACGTCGCGCCATCGTTCCTCTTTGCCTACGTGTGAAGCACCCCTTCCATTTAATGAATGTTTCATTCCTTTGTCTGTATTCAGCCCTTTCATTTACTCTGACCGTAATAGGTAATTGGTGTTAAAAATTTACCTAAAATTAAATTAAGGTGCAAGGCTCTATTATTAATGTAGCAGTTAATTTTTGTAGAATTTTCGCGTCTCGTGTAACATTGCTCCAGTTAGATGTAACCTTCATGGGAATTCAGGGCGCGGTTTAATGAGGTCCGTTATGAAAACGTTCGTCAATTATCGACGGCGACTGGTGGCTTGTTTACGGCTCCGCGGACGCATTTAGACGCAGTGACATTCATGCCGCCATTCGAACAATGAAACCTAAATGCACCAATATGCGCCTGTTTCCTGCTAGCATCAACAGAAATCAATCAATCAAAAATACTCATATAACAACTGTAAAAAAAATCGATAGGTACAAATGTAAAATATGTAAAATATGTTTTGAGAAAGAACGTTGGCTTTCTGTTCTTCATCTTCCTCATCATCCGTAAAAGTTCTCTTTTGGACATGGCATCTCGAATTTCATACGTGGTAGAGCCACACTGCAGCTATATTATGGTTGTAGCACGAATGGGTCGGCTCAACCGGGGGAGGACCACGCTCTCGCAGAATACCAGCGTAAAATAGCAGCTTAATACTGCTGTGTTTCGTATGGTCAGTGTAGAGTTCCGTCGTTTTTTTTTTACTGGATACGAGGCATTCCATCTTAATCCTCAGGGGTGACAACGCATCTGTATTTTGATTCTTAATCGAAGATAAATGTAGATGTCTATGTGCCACAGCTTCCACTTACCATCAGGTGGACTGTGTGCTCGTTTGTCACCCTTATTATATAAAAAAATTACCCTATTAGTAAGCTAAAATCAATGCTAAGGATTTCCTATATACTACCATAAGACGTACTGTAGAACTCAGAAATGAATACAGTGAGAAGCGTGTATACACATTACCCACTGCATAATTCGCGGCCTTACCGCCACACTCAGGTTCGCATACGCAACTAGTTCAGAGCAATTGAGCGCCATTGAGCCGCTGGTCCCTCTAGCAGGACTACACCGCACACACTTGCCAAGGTTACACCACTGTTGCCGTGTGCTTCACAATGCCTTTATGTCGTTCGATGAATCTAACATACATGTTCAATGCTTCATTCAATTTGTTGCAATCGCTACTAGTTTTCTGGTGCACGTAAATTGAGTAATACCTTTTCATTGCCCGTGTTCAAACTTCATCGTTTATTTTTCTACATTTGATGAATCTTTTGACATATTATGTTTTGCTTTAATTCAAACCATTCTCATGTTTAACAGAAACATCGAATTGTTACTGTATAAAAGTTATACTTTCTAAGTCGTTAATGGATTTAGACTTTTTACGCAGTAACTTGTTGATGTTCAATTTCTTTTGTTTGTCGATACCGCGAGACTCATTGTCTTAAAGAAACATATTTATTATTTTTTAGGCTTTTAAATATAAACATACAGTCGGCTTAGAGTCTCGCGATTTCGCCATTATCATTGTCACTTCACATAGTGGAACCCTGTTGCATGGTCCGTAGGGGCCGCCTTGTAGAACGTGTCTAGCCCCTAGTTGTGTTTACAGCATGGCCGTTCCGACTCATACCGCGTCGCCACCGTCGTACCAGTTAAGGACGACAATAGAACTGCCGATGGACAGTACAAGGTTTTTAAATTACTTTCATCTTTCGTTTATACAAACACGAGGACAGACGTGAGCTTTTTAAATATTGCTACCTCTACATAAACTGATCATCAAGTTATTTGATTTGATATAATTGCTTTTTATACCTATACGCAGAAACTGACTTAGGTTATGTTTTCATGTCATAAAATTGCAGTTACTAAAACAAAATTTGCAATACAACTTTACATCGATTACGATCAATTTTACATCGCATACCTCTTTTGTAGTCCAAAAAATATTTAAATAAATGGCTTCTCTATATCACATAAACTTATTTTAATATGTGCTACAAGCCTTATTTTAATAATATGTCTCATATATAAATAAATTTATGATATTTAGTTATTTAAGTCACCTGCCACTTATTTCTCACCACGCCATGAATTGACTGGCAGAGAATACTAAATGACAATAAGTCCAACCTTTGAAACCTATATGTTTTATATAATAAATTTTTTAAATAAACTAGGATAAGATATTACGAAAATCAAATAACTAATTCGATGATTACATTGTATATCACTTATTGAAAAAAATTAAAAGTGGAATATATATTTAATTTTCATTCAAAATGTAGAGATAGCACTAAACGCGTAACTTCTGTCATCGTTATTCATTGCATGCTTTATTAAATTCATTTTTCATGTTTATTTTTTATCTTAACTTTTTTTGAACCATATAAAAATAACTTCAACTATATTTTTAAAATAATCTACTACCTTAATTTGGCGCTAATATATACTACTTTATATGTCCGCAGACACGCCGGAAACCCCCTGCGAAAAAGCGGAAACCAGGAGATTTAGACGACCTAAAACAGGAATTAGACATCGATTATCATAAAGTAACTCCCGAGGAACTCTACCAAAGATTTCAAACGCACCCAGAAAATGTAAGTTCATTTTCACAGACGTTTTAAATCGCCCATCAAAGTAGAGATTAATTGAATGTAATGGCAATATTTAATTTTATAATATTTTTAGGGCCTTAGTCATGCAAAAGCGAAAGAAAATCTTGAAAGAGACGGTCCAAATGCACTCACTCCCCCCAAACAGACACCCGAATGGGTGAAGTTTTGTAAAAATCTTTTCGGCGGTTTTGCATTATTATTGTGGATTGGTGCTATTCTGTGCTTTATCGCATATGGAATTCAGGTAAGTATGCACTATGTAGCATACAGATTATAAACAGTTTTTAAAGCTTTTGTCTTAATGAATTTATTTCTAAATATAATATGCACAATATGAGAGTACTTAATGTTGCTTTATCATTTTTGTTAATAACCAACTATGAATCTGGTTTACAGGCGAGTACTGTTGAAGAACCAGCGGATGACAACCTGTACCTAGGTATTGTACTAGCGGCTGTAGTTATCGTTACGGGTATCTTCTCTTACTACCAAGAAAGCAAATCATCTAAGATCATGGAATCATTCAAAAACATGGTACCCCAATTCGCTACTGTTATCCGTGAAGGTGAAAAACTGACTCTCCGCGCTGAGGACCTCGTGCTTGGAGATATTGTTGAAGTAAGGAAAAACTTATGTTATTTAATAATAATTTAAAAAAAGCTTTATTTCTCTTACAGCCTATAAATAAGTTGTATGTGTTGTGTAGTGGTGACTTAAGAGAATCCCATACGGAGGAAAAAGAAAAACCAATAAAGGGAAAGAAAAAATACATCCACACTCTTCATAAAAATGAACGCCCAATTTCGATAATCCGCATCCTATATAAGTTTATGAACACTCACCTTGTGGCATACCTAGAATAGTATGGATTCCTCGGCGACCGAGCTGAAATATGTGAACTTAGCGTATTCCACTCACATATAGGGCGCGGCCTTCGAGAACAATAGGGAAGCACTTGCTATTTCTCTTGATGTATTGATTGACTGGGTAAAGGACTTTCCGAGTGGACGGACTCACCGCGTCTTGACGACGTACGACTACTTATTTGCTTTAGTTTTTAGGGAATGAGATTTCTCCGGACTTCAGTTTTGAGAGGTTCATTAATTCCGGGGCCGAAGCATCAGTAAGGAAACTAGGTGTCCTTGCAAGTGTTCGACGCGGCGGTAATTTACGCCGGGGCAAATTTTTATTCTATGTAAAGCGTAAGTCCGATCGTGCATGGAGTACTATGGACTGGTGCTGCAATGCCATCTAGAAGTTATCGTAGGTTTGTTGGATTCCCTGAATATGAGTCCTAAAACTTATTAGTGACCGTGATTTGTTTGAAACAAATCTTGTCAGCCTCGAGCGCGTACTGGAGGCGAACAGTAGCCAGCCTCACGGTAATCTAGAGGATACATTTTGAAGAGTGTATGCAGGAATTACACGCCCTAATTCCTCTTTCTTCTTTCCACCATTATTCAGGGTTCGATAGGTCTTCACCACTTTGTTGTCGATATTTCACGCATTCAAACCACAAAGTAGTGAAATATTTTGTCGGTGTCGGTCTTTCCGTCCAATTACAATCTGAGACGACAAGGTGGAATTGCAGTCGAGCACTGGCTTGTGATTAGTAAATAATGACAGGAGATGGGCGGCAGCATTTTCGTGATAAAAGCACTAATAATATAATAAACTGTGGTTGCCATCCCACTCGCTAAGAATGGCAATAATGGCGTATATCCCCTCTATAAGGCAACCTGTGGATTTTTTTAATAGGCTGTAATGGATGAATGGAACAGTTTATAATATATACAAAAGTTATTTTTTTATTTCCTTTCTTTAATGTTTTTTACTGGCGATGTTTCAGGAAATTTAGTAAGATGAAACAAGTAGTTACAGTTTTCAATAACATTTTACATTAATAATAAATTTATAAAACCGCTTTCGTTCTGTGTTTCTTATTCTAAAGAGAAACCTGTATTTTAGGTGAAATTCGGTGACCGAATCCCGGCTGATATCCGTATCATCGAATCCCGCGGATTCAAAGTAGACAACTCGAGTTTGACCGGCGAATCGGAACCTCAGTCCCGTGGCCCCGAGTTCACCCATGAGAACCCCTTGGAAACCAAGAACTTGGCTTTCTTCTCAACTAACGCTGTTGAGGGCACCGCGAAAGGCATTGTCATCTGTTGTGGGGATAACACGGTTAGTAATATTTATTGCATGTACTCTCATAGATCAAATAATTTTAATAATTCAAGGAACGAATGATTTGTACTCATTGGGTTGGAACAACGAAATGGCAGCATCAGCACAATGCTGTAGCATTTTTGGCACTGCAATTGTACTGTTATAATATTGGTACCTAACATTCAATTGATCCAATCATAAGAAAATACAAAAAAAAAACGTTTTGTAAATACGTTTTATAAATTGGAGGACATCACTACTAATCTTTAGTTAAATGAATCTTGAGGATAAATCTTTTAGCATCCGATAGATGGCGGAATAGGCAATTCCTGTATATGCCATATATAAAATACTGAGACCGACGACGGGGAGCGTCAAAGTGTGCCTACTAAGTAACTGACTTCGCGTGTCGCATGTCATAAAAAGCGACTAATGTGATATCGGTACCGATTATCGTTCGATACCTATTACCTTGCTCTTCACTATTTTCTATTTAAACCTATATTTTTGTGTCTGCCTTCGCCCTCGGGAATTACAGGTTTGATGCTATAGGGAGATAATTTAAAAACTGATTTATTTTAGTTACTGACTGTTTAGCTCAGCAAAACAAATAATGGAGATTTCATTTAGGTGATGGGACGTATCGCTGGCCTGGCTTCCGGTCTGGACACAGGAGAAACGCCTATTGCAAAGGAAATCCACCACTTCATCCACTTGATCACTGGTGTCGCCGTATTCCTTGGAGTCACGTTCTTCCTTATCGCCTTCATCCTCGGCTACCACTGGCTGGATGCCGTCATCTTCCTCATTGGTATGAATTCACAATTTAACGCTTTTACCGACTACTCCCACAAGGGTGATGATTTACAGATGTATACATGTATATACTATTTGTAACCTTCAGTAGTATTCTCAGATTTGACTTGGTCTCCGCTCGCAAAAACTAATATGGCGGATGCTTCAAGTGAATTTTTATAGATTTCTACTTTATAGATAGTATCTGGATGACCGATGATTTTTTTTAAATTACATTTAGATACAAATTACATACTGGTAAATAATATTTTTTGATCTTATTGACATAATAGAAAAAACTGAACTGGTTATTTGAATAAAAAAATCATGAGTGCAATTAGTTTAATTAAAATTTTCGTTTTAGTTTAATCAAAATTTTCGTATTCTTATATTGTAGCAGTTTTTCATTGCCTGAAAACACGGACAAAAAGACATCTTCTAAAAATAAATCCTAGCTAGATCCTAGCTATTGCCCTCGAAACTCCTTGGACACAAATTTTATGAAAATCTTTGGAGCTATTTATATATATATATATATATATATATATATATATATATATATATTATTTATATATATATATATATATATATATATATATAAATCAAATAATACCTATAAACGAGTAATTTTATAGGTATAGGATTATTTGATGGCTTGGTAGTGCAGTGGTTAATTAAACATCTTCCATCGACCGGGGAACGACCACGCTCTCACAGAAAACCAGCGTAAAACAGCAGCTAAATCCTGCTGTGTCTCGTATGGTGAGTGTAGAGATCCGAAGACCCTTTTTTACTGGAAACGAGGCATTCCATCTGACAACGCATCTGTATTTTGATTCCTAATCGAAGATAAATGTATGTATATATATATATCTATGGGCCACAGCATCCACATACCATCAGGTGGACTGTGTGCTCGTTTGTCATCCTTATTCTATAAAAAATTACCCTATTAGTAAGCTAAAATCAATGCTAAGGATTTCCTATATACTACCATAAGACATACTGTAGACCTCAGAAATGAATACAGTGAGAAGCGTGTATACACATTACCCACTGCATAATACGCGGCCTTACCGATTAAGTCCTCAGGGGTGACTTAATCGAGGATAAATGTAGATGTCTATGGGCCACAGCATCCACTTACCATCTATACCAAAAAAAAATCCGGGTATTAATGTTTATCTTTGTGCAATTTTTGTTTGTAAATTGGCTCCACGATAGGTACAGAAGAAATCAAATTTAAATAAAATACTTTTAATTGATTAAAGAGAACACACCATGTACACACTCGTTGTATCATTTGTACTCCGTATGCCCGCTAAGATGGATCTAAATGAAACTGTTGCTGCGTTTTGCTTTTGTGCTATTAGTTATCATATTTTTTTACACATTTACCATAAGAAGAAAATAGAAGATGGTGTATGGTTTCTATTTACCGTAACAGAACCATGTACGGTGAATAGAATAGAGTACGCTCTCATTTTCATTGCTAGACTCACGAGCATTGAGCTATTATGTACTACGTACTAGAGGAGACACTGCATTCAGCTACTCTGTTCCACTATCCACTCAACTGCGGTGCATGCACTGCACTTTACTCAGTCACTAGCTAGGCGCTTGTAGAGTTGTCACGTGTTGTGTTGATTTAAAAAAAATCTCTTGATAAAAATATGCCGTCTTGTGTACTTAGATATTGCACAAATAATTCAAGTAAAAACCAAGGAATTAATTTTCATCGGTTAATAAGATACTTATTCAATAAAAAAGTATTATAAATTAATAATAAAAAAATTATTCCTAAGCCGCCATCTCGTATCATTGAATATAGATTATGAAATTAATATGTTCAGATGCGACATTTCTGTGGGTACTTAAGTATAGGACGAATAATATATTATTGTACACATTTTTTTTGTAGAAATATATAAGTTATTATAATTAGGCTAAATTTTTCTATGCTTACTATTCTTTTATTTTATTTTTAGGTTTCCACTTCAAAGTCAAAGTGGAATAAATTCGTCCATTTTTAACTCTCGCGTGCCCAGCATTTATGAACGATTATTTACAGCATTTATGATTCTAATTTAAATAAATATATTTGTAATTTAAATTTTATGTTAATAAGTTTTGTTAAACATACATTTAGTATGTTTTTTTTATATTTGACATAGATACCTTTTAAAATATTCAGATAAAAATATCATTAAAATGTAATTGTGATATAATATTATGTAATATTATATTAAAGAAACAAATATAATATACAAAATAAACGACAAAATTTAAATATTGTTCTCGGTATAATTTAGCTATTTAACAATACAATCTACTATTACCTGCTGATCATTCTACCTATGTTTGTTCTATGATAAAAAAACCAAACGCGCGAACACAGAGTAGCGCACATTTTTTGTTTGAGATAGCTGTTCTAGTACGTAAGTACATATTACTTCAATGCTCACGAGTGACTAGAGCGCACAAAACCGACAAGCTTCCGAGAGCAAACGTGAGCTGCGAGACGCGCCGCGACGCGACGAGAGCACCGTGTACACACTCGTACTCGGCCTGTCTCGTGGTGTCACAATGAACGTGTACAGCTGCCATAATGAATTCCTGTATAACAACCAAGGGCGGCGCCAATGGGGGTATAGAGGGGCATGTGCCCCCCAACCCCGAGACTCAAAAAATGTAGTCAAATGCAAAGCAACCAGTCTCATTTATTGTTTTATAACAACCATAATAACCAACTCGCTTACGCCAGACGTAAAATACCAAGACAGACGAGGGTCAGCATGTTCAAAAGTGCGCGGCATCCGGTAATGTAGTCATCAATTCGGCTGCCAAGCGTGATTATTAATATTTTCCACAACAGGACATTGGGTCCCCTAAATCCAGCTGTGGGCTTCTAATGGTCCATGATGATGAAAATAAAGGCTTTTGATATAATAATAATAACTCTGAGATAATTAAAGAACAAAAATACCATATTACCACCGTATTCGCAGGTATCATTGTAGCCAACGTACCTGAAGGTCTACTCGCCACCGTGACCGTGTGCTTAACACTAACCGCTAAGAGAATGGCGTCGAAGAACTGCCTTGTCAAGAACTTGGAAGCTGTAGAAACCCTCGGATCCACTTCTACCATCTGCTCGGACAAGACCGGAACACTGACCCAAAACAGGATGACTGTCGCCCATATGTGGTTCGATAACCAGATCATCGAGGCCGATACTACGGAGGATCAATCTGGAGTACAGTATGGTAAGTAAACGTTAAGCATAATGATTTCTTATATTACACGAATACTATATATAAAATAAAACTAATTTTAGGGATTTTATCGCGTTTAATTTAACTTTTTTAATTCCCGACGTTTCGGTCACGGGTGTGTAACCCCATGGGTGCCGTAAAGTACCCGAAACGTCGGGTATTAAAAAAGTTAAATTAAACGCAACCGTAAAATTAGTTTTAATTTTTGTTTTATTAGTTTCATGAAGTAATGATACAATCACGCTTTGAATTGGATTCAAAGATACGACTCCATTTTATTTTGTGTATGTATGTTTTAAATGAAAGCACGTAAAGCCGTGTTGGATTGCCGTTCCATCGGACTATGAGAGTGAGGGAATATAGTGCACATGTGCTCGCGTTATAATTTTGTCCTACGCAAATGTCTGGTCTCCATTGAGACTGGCCGCCGTGACCCAAATTTATTCTGAAGGACATCAATACCGAGGAGTGATTCGTTCTTCCCTTCGGTTTAGATTATTTTTTAAATCCATAAAGATTGATATATATCAATCTTTATGGATTGACAGTTTATATATTATATAATTAAACATTAGAGACAGTCAATGAAGTATAAAGTTGCTATTTCTAAAGTTGTAATATATATTTACTGATGGTCCAATATAACCTATACGTAATAAGAATTAACTAATTCTAAAATAATAATTTATAAATCCTATCCACAGACCGAACTAGCCCTGGCTTCAAGGCTCTCGCTAAGATCGCCACTCTTTGCAACCGCGCTGAATTCAAAGGTGGTCAGGACGGTGTTCCAATTCTTAAGAAGGAGGTCGCCGGTGACGCTTCTGAAGCTGCTCTCCTCAAATGCATGGAGCTTGCCCTCGGTGACGTCATGTCGATCAGGAAGCGTAACAAGAAAGTCTGCGAAATTCCCTTCAACTCTACCAACAAATACCAGGTTTCCATCCACGAGAGTGACGACCCTAGTGACCCTCGCCATTTGTTAGTGATGAAGGGCGCCCCCGAGAGGATTTTAGAACGCTGCAGCACTATCTTCATTGGCGGCAAGGAAAAGGTTGGAAATGTTTAATTTTAATTGACTAATATTAATGAAGTAATAAAGAATTTATCACTTCTGTTTTAAATGAAAAATAAACTTTAATCTTTGAACGGAATAAAGGCATATTTATTATTCGATAGGTTTTGGATGAAGAAATGAAAGAAGCATTTAACAACGCGTACTTAGAATTGGGCGGTCTTGGTGAACGTGTGCTCGGATTCTGCGACTTGCAACTCCCCTCTGATAAGTATCCAATCGGCTACAAATTTAACACCGACGACCCCAACTTCCCCTTGGATAACCTTCGGTTCGTTGGCCTCATGAGCATGATCGATCCACCCCGAGCTGCAGTACCCGACGCCGTGGCTAAGTGCCGTTCTGCTGGTATCAAGGTGAGCAAATTTACGTTGTTGAATACATACTTGAAAAAATAGACACAGACACAAAAATAGACAGATTAGTTAGAATCAAGGGCGACGCGTTGGAGGCGGGGAGGGGCAGCCGCGCTCCGCTCCCCTCATAGGGGCGTAGTAAATAACAAAATAGCAAAGCAACCAGTCTTATTTATTTTACAGTCAAGAGCTTTACACATTGAAATTCGTGTAACTATGTGTAAAAATGTGCTCTTGTAATCCCCCCCCCCCACCCCCTCCTGGGCCATCGGCTAGCGATGTTAGAATGCGTGCCCTTGTTAGATTAGAATGTTGAAGTAATTTGTTAATTCCTCGTTTGTAGTTCACATCCTTATTGCGTTATAAAATCTATTATCCCATACCGTCCCATGAGTGCCGTAAGAGACGAAGAGGGAAACTGAAAGAGGAGATGTAGAACCTCCTGATAACAACATAAAATAATAAAAAACTGTTTTACCCAACGCGCCTACCGATCGTGACAATAGTAACAAATATCCCTTGGGCTATTTAGGATATTTTCAAGTCAGTTTATGGGGAAGCCTATGTTCAGCAGTAGGTTTTTGATTGGCACTGCATATACATGCATATGCACGTAGTGTGCATATGCATGTGTAGTAGTGTACTAAGCATTGTCATTTTAATATAAACATTGAACAATGATAATATTAAATTACTAATACGTAGTTATAGCTATATAACTACATATTGTATAGTATGCAAAGTATTTTGTACTTTAGGATTATCTAACCTAATAAATAAAGTTCATCAATGATTGCCACCCCTCACACATATACAAGCAACTTAAAATAAAGAAAACAAAAAAACAAGTAAAAAAAAATTCATAAAAATCATTCACGACGAAATTTTTAAGTAATTCATAGTCAATCGTTTTGAGATATTTATCTATATATTAATTACAAACGAATTTGTTGCATTTGGATATTGATAAGATCTTATTAACACGGCTACATACTTACATAATAAAGGTCCTAGATGCTATATATTTCTCACTAGTGCGTATTTCAAAAGCAATTCGTGGATTAAAGTATTTATAAATTGTTTTATTTTGTAAACACCAATTTTTAATTATTTCATATTTTTATATAGGTTATCATGGTGACTGGTGACCATCCCATCACTGCCAAGGCTATAGCCAAGTCCGTAGGCATCATTTCCGAAGGCAATGAAACCGTTGAAGATATCGCTGCACGCCTCAATATTCCCGTGTCTGAAGTGAACCCACGCGAAGCCAAAGCCGCCGTCGTCCACGGAACTGAACTCAGGGATATAAACTCTGATCAACTTGACGAGATTCTCAAGTGAGTGTTTATACACATCATCATATAACTTGAACACAGTTCTTATTATTGTTTTATTAAATTGACTTACATTTATTTTGTATTATTACGTTTCATTTACTTTATTAATATTTTAATACAACAGTCTACTGAGTCTTCAGTCCTAAGCTTAAATCCTAAATGAACTGGTTATAAAATAATTCAAAATATTATTTTTGGATGTCATTAATTTCGACTACGGCTCATGTATCAATAAAATTAAAATTAAATTCATTGGTAGCTAAAAATTTAATTATTAATAATTGAATGCCTTACACTCATATTTTGCATTCGATTTTTCTTAAAACTTTAATCGTATTTATCTTGTTTGAATACAAAGGGTATGTAAGTAATTTATTTATATCGCAGGTTCCACACGGAGATAGTGTTCGCCCGTACCTCCCCTCAACAGAAACTGATCATTGTGGAAGGATGCCAGCGTCTTGGCGCCATCGTGGCCGTGACTGGTGATGGTGTTAACGACTCGCCCGCTCTCAAGAAGGCCGATATTGGTGTTGCTATGGGTATCGCCGGTTCTGATGTGTCCAAGCAAGTGAGTGAACATTTACCTTTTAATCCATATTGAGTCATTAAATGTATTTCAAAGTTTGGACTTAAGCAAAGATATTTTTTAATTAGAATTTTAAGTGAAATATCAATCTTATAAACACTTAAATTATTTGGTACTCATACATATATAACTAAAATCTTAAATGCACATTCTTCAGGCCGCTGACATGATCTTGCTCGACGACAACTTCGCTTCGATCGTAACTGGCGTGGAAGAAGGCCGCTTGATCTTCGACAACCTCAAGAAGTCCATCGCCTACACTTTGACCTCCAATATTCCCGAGATTTCGCCTTTCCTTGCTTTCATCCTCTGCGACATTCCCCTTCCTCTCGGGACTGTTACAATCCTTTGCATCGATCTTGGAACTGACATGGTAAGTGCGACTTTAAATTCTACCGCCAACGGTATATTTTGTTTTGTGATATTGTATTGCTATATTTCTACGAGACAAGTAATGTTTAAGGTATAAATGAACTGACAAAAATTATAAAACAAATATACACTACGACTTAGTTAAATGTGTCAAATATAACTTCACAGTCAATTATAACGATTATTTTCTGTTGATATAAAATTATCAAGTGGAACTTTTAAAGATGTATCCTTTGTTGAATCGCACGTTATCGTAATAATAACGATAACTACGTCATGACGTCACTAGGTGAGAGGGCGACCTGTAAAAAGTCCGCCTAGGTTGGTACGACCCTCTCGTCTATTTCTGACACCAAGCAGCAACAAACGCACGGCCGTGTTTCGGTTTGAAGTGTGATACACTCAGTATAATTACAGGCTATTCATTTTATTTTAGTCTTCAGGGTAGACAATGCATGTGACCATTTTTGTTTAAAATGGCCTTTCAGGTGTCTATAAACTGTTACAGTGAGTACATCGGACTGTTAATTCCAAAGTTAAAATTTCCCTAGCGAAAAATAAGATGTGAATTCTAAAATTTAATTTGAAGTAATATAGCAATTTGTACAATTATAATGACATGTCTTCCTTAAGTTTTCAGCATTATAGCTCAAGATTAGGCAATATTTTAAACCTCTTTTACTTTTTCTAGCTAACGAGCTAATCAAAACGATTTCTGAATAAACGTATTTGTCTCGAATGTTCGACATTTTAGCTTATTTTTGTGATCATATAGGTGACTAGAAAAAGTAAAATTGATGGAAAATTATAATAAAAAATTGACATTAGGTGCCAGCGATAGCACTTGCTTACGAGTCTGCAGAGGCTGACATAATGAAACGCCCACCTAGGAACCCATTTTGCGACAAACTAGTCAATGAGAGGTCTCTACTATGTATTATGATAATACTTTGTGGCAATAAAAATAACCCATAACTGTTTTTTCAGCTATAATAACTTCGATGTTGTATCGATAGCGTCACGACTGGGTGTTTCTCTAGTTTGTAATTTATTGTGAGCAACCATAATGTCGAATATTACTTACAAAATATTTTTAATTGAAATTGTCCAAGGAAATGTTTCAACCCATTATGGTTGAACACAATTCAAACATTTGACATAAAAAATGTTCAGTGTGAAAACGTGCGTACGACTAAAAAAGTTTGAGCTTTACAAATTTAACACAACTAATTTATATGCTGCAAGTGCTAAATGGTTTGACGTGAGGCTCCTTTCTGTTAATATGTGAGCATTGAGCGAGATTATCTTACTCAGTGTTATAGGTGGTTCTGTGTACAAAACCAAGTGTTACGCTTTCTTAGATTGAGGAAGGTTATGGACACCAATTCCTGATATTTGCGGTCCTTAACGCATCGCGTTGGGCGTTCAATCATTTAAAGGGTATTAATATAACAATTTGTTTGAACATAAAGACAGACACAATACACCATAGTTACAGTCACATGCATATCATCTCCATCATCATTCAAACACGTTTTATTTTTTCAAAATTTTTCGTGTGACCTAATTGAATGTCCACACTTTCGTTTGCAAATCATTCGATATTTTGAGTTCTCAACGATTTCAGTACTTGCAACAGAACAATCATTTCATAATTTACATTTTTTATGTGTCCGTTTTATTTCTGTGATAATAATTATTAAGTGATTAAAGTCATTGTAAGCATACACTGTTACAAATATATTGTATATATGCAGCCATAAACGGTATCCGTTGGCTACCAGTGTCTACTTGCAATTGTCTTGCTGAATGTTCGATGTTGTACACATGTGATAATGATGCACTGCGCTTTACAATACGAGCACGAACGTTCGCACGTGCGAACGCGCCGCTGCTCGCCGTTCGCTCTCATAGCTAGTGTTTGTGTAGGTGCCCGCCATTTCCCTGGCTTACGAGGAGGCCGAATCTGACATTATGAAGCGACAGCCGCGTAATCCTTTCACAGATAAACTCGTTAACGAGAGGTAAAACATTACGAGTGACACGACACTCGTTCAAAGATATTATTTCTATCTGCTACTTGCTTGCTATATACCACGTGTAAGTTAGTCTTCAATATTGAGGTTTGGTTGTTGCCTGTCGTCTGCGGGCGGTGCCTTGCAGGTACACGTCTCTTTGTTTCCCTTAAAGGCGACAATCGCACCGATTCTAACTTCTGCCTTGCGTTGTCTTGTATATTACTCTGTACTAACACTTTCCTGTTTCCTTTAATGTAGCTTGTGGTGGCTATGAAATAATGTGTTTTTTGTTGGTTTTCTGTTCCGCGACCGACCCGCTTCCAAACACATTGTTTCATTTTGATATACGTTTTTACATCTTATTCATTTACTTGTTAGGTGTTTGTTTGTATTGGTGCGTGTATGTGTGTGTGTGTGTATATGGTCGTTTACAAGGTAAGTGATCGATGTGTATCTATCTGTCTATGCCATGTGTCTTCTGTGCATGTTTCTTCGGACACATCTTAACATCCTTTAGTAACATTATTTGTTTATTAATAATTATATTCTTCCTCTACTTTTTTATACTTATTTTATACCTCTCATAATTTTCACGCACATCATATAACACGATATATTTCACACAAATATCGCTACTATACGTTATTTTCATATCGTATGCGCTCCGGGTTCTCATTTCACCCCATGTTTGTTATTCGGACAGGCCTATATTTTATTATTTTATATATACGTAGGTACAAAAATATTCATATTAATTGTTTAACATGTTAAGTATCACTAGGACTTACTTGTTATTATACCACTAGCTTAGTATTTCAACCTGTATAATATTCTTTTTATAATATAACCTAAAAGGTTTCCTCGAATATAACACGCTAAATATTTTTCTATTTTCTGTATTTTATAGATCACTGAGTTATTATTTAAGAGTGATAGTGTCGCTATGTTAATTTGGTACTTATATTTATAACTGAAGTCGTTAGTTGTAGAGTATGTGAAATTGGAACGTCGTAGCCGAGGGGTGGGTATTTGTTTATAATTTAATTTAAAAAGTGCTGCGCAATGGCGCGGCTTGTGATCCGTTTTGTGGTTTGTGCTGATTGCTTGGTGTTACCGAAGGTGCCTGCTATATCTTTGGCGTACGAAGCACCCGAGTCCGATATCATGAAGCGGCAGCCTCGGGACCCTTACCGCGACAATCTCGTCAACAGAAGGTTGGCCCGCACTGCCACGTAGCCGGCGCATACACGCGGCCGAAGCTTATTAGATAATCATATGGGTGTTAACGCAATCAATAGCCCACATTGGAATTTCGAACGATCCGCTCGGAAAAAATCTTTGAATTATTCATTTTTACTAATATTCGTTCAATTAAATTAAAAAAAAAAACATTCACCTCTTCATAGATGTTTCGAACGGATTGTACTGGGTCTACTTCATTAACTGGCCATTGTGAAGTTTAAAAAATAGATAAAAGAAATTTAAACACTAGAGCCAAATAAAAACATTGGAAGTGGAAGTCTCTTTAATAATTTTCGAAAAGGTTTTAAAGGTATCGTCAGTTATACTGACCTTAATTTTTCTTATATTTCACGGTATATTATATATTTAAGTTTTATTGGTATGAAACAAAGCATAGAAGAAATTTTGTGTAAATTAAATTAGTAAAGTTTAAAATTATTCTAAAAATAAAATTAAAAAAAAATATTTGCGGTCAGTTAATGAAATGTTGCCCTCATCAAAATTTGAGAATAATAAAAAAATTATATTATAAAAATGCATTTTGAACGGTGGGGCTACTTACGATCTACCGTTGGAAATAAGATGTGGAAGAGTGATTATGAAGTACTAATCGTACGTCGAGCACTAAGCAATTAGTTCCGTAACTAATTAGGTAACACAGGAACATTCCTCGAACACTGCTAAACCACCGTTGTGTCAACGCACAAGTTCTAATAGTTACTTTTAATGTTTATTTAAATAACTTTCGCAATTTAAACTTATCTTTTATAGACCTCTACCCTAGATTTAGCGAAGTTAGCCTTTCTGTCACTTCTTCACAATCTTCACTCTTCCATATTTCAAATTTAGATGATGAAATACGAAATGCAATATCAAAATAAATGCACGTTAGTAAACAAGTTAGCGATTTGTTAGTGAACGTTCTTAAGACGTACTTAGTGACTGATTATTGAATAGAAAAGTAGAAGAATTAGTTGTTAATTGTTAGTGATTTTTTAAGGAATGACCTAGGCGACATGAAGAGTGTTGTTTTTTATTTATATATTTCTATATGAATAATTTATGCAAATAAACTTGAAATATATATGTATTCAAATATATCTTTAAATTTTTCCTCACACGCTATTCTAATGTTTTTTGAGCTTCTAACGCCCACACGCAAAATATACGGTTCTTTTCGCTTTTATCGGTTTTATTTCCCGTCTTAGCTCTTCACCGATCTCTACCGCTTTCGCTTGCGTTTAATCTTTTGCATGTGGTGTTAAATTGTAAGTATAATTAACATTTTTATATTATATTTAAATAACGATGGTGTTTTATGTAATTTAATAAAAAATACAGGTTTTTAATTTTGTTATTTTATTTTTATATAATTTGTTCTATAATACCAACTGAATCAAAGCATAGCTCACGACACCAACGTTGTTTTAAGGTTTAGACTAATAATAATAAAGATATAATTTTTACTAGAACTCTCATTTACTCGCTCCTGTCAGAGGTAAAGTTACATTGTCTTTTTTAAATTTTAGCTTTCATAATAAAGCATTGTTTCTTAAGAAGTAAACCGGTATTTGCATTATGTTTATCAGATCTTTAGTGTTTTAAATATCATACAAATACATTACTATATTATTTTTTCTTTAATCGGAAAGGCTTATCTACAATGGTGATTTGTTGTGGATTTATAGAGCATAAGGGAATTCTCACTCTCATAAATAATGTCTATCAAATTTTCATGTAAAATACTAATTTTAAATTAAAAAAAAAAAAGATTATAACACCAGGTTATAGTAGGTATTTTTCCGCTAGTACTAGCTTTGTCAGTTTATCGTGGAGGCATTTTGCATACATAAATTACACGGGAACGAACATTGAGACCCGGGACAATTATTTGTAAGCCATACGAACACTTGTCCTGTACGAGATCTTTACCCGTGGCCTCGCAACACCGCTGCTAAACATTCAGCCGGTGCACCACGGAGTCGTACAATATTGACCTACAATGGTTTTTATTTTTCAGTAATCACAAGCATATCTTTGGCGTATATTTTTTTTAAACTAGACAATGTCATTTCAGTATAGTAATGAAAGCTCTGTTTAATTCCACCATGAGTCATAATTTTGCATAAAAGATCTCAATCTTAAAGTACATACACAAACTGTAATTTTACATACATGGAATATATACCGATACCTTACTGTATGCAGTTTTTTTTTAAATGAATTAAGAAAATATTTTTTATAATTTCCAGTTGTAATACTTCCGGCTCTTGTTAAGAAACCATGCTAAGTTTATGTCCTGATCCATATTAAAATAAAAAGTAGTATTTCGCTAAGAAAAAAGAACTTCCATTTTTTATTTATATATTCAATAGAACAAAGAATATTTCTACACACTATTCGTATCTACAAAATTTTAATGTTCAGTGAAAGTAATTTGAAATTGAAAATTAATTGCAATTATCAATAGAAAACCTTCATCGTATACAAACGTACAGTATAACACGCTGTATGGGTGTTTCGCAGGCTTATATCGATGGCGTATGGACAAATCGGAATGATTCAAGCCGCCGCCGGTTTCTTCGTGTACTTCGTAATCATGGCTGAGAACGGATTCCTGCCAATGAAACTGTTCGGTATCAGGAAACAATGGGACTCTAAGGCCATCAACGACTTGACCGATTCCTATGGACAGGAATGGGTATGTTAAAATTACATTGTTAAGGTATATTTTCCCAAAAAAATTTATAAGAAAATGGCTATTCGCTCCGGCTTCGACAGGTAATTTCTGGATCATGACAATAGCGCCACCTACCGGGTACAACTGTGAATCTAAACACACACACACACACACACACACACACACAATTTCATCAAAATTGGCCCAGGCGCTTAGGAGGAGTTCAGCCACAAAAACACGGACAGAAGAATTATTTTTGTAATGGGTAAAGAATGTTAAACTTGCGTCAGGACACGTGACCTGATCGAAAATTCGTAAGACGGATGGAGAGTAGACAGTACGCCGCGTTTTCTGAGAGATAAACTTTTTAATGTAATATAAATTGTCATGTTTATGTACGATAGCGCAATAAATGAATATTGTATTCTACCACATAAATGATAGTACTTTTATACTGATAATTAAAGCAATTCGTGCAAAATTATTCCCTAACCATTCCAAAATATCAAAAATGCACAACTTAGTATTCAAGTTTTCACTTCTGCCAGCACTCTCGGAGTGCAACCCGTCGTTTTTTTACCCTCAATTGAGCTCAGAAACCTTTAATTTTCCCTTTGTTTTGCTGGACTATATCGATTATAGATACTTTTTTGATACTTTATGATTTACACTAGATCCGAGAAGGTGCATCACACTCATAAATAATGCAACAGACATTTTGCTTTTATGTAAAATCTCAACGTTTATGTTTTTTAACTTTTCTTAATTATTAGTGAAGTTAAATTCTCACTAAAACGGGAGAGATCAGTGTCCAACTGAGGGTTTTTCATGAAAGCGAATTGACTATTATATATAATTAATTACGAACGTGAATATTTTTGAAGTCCTTATTGTCAAACGTGTATTACGTTAACCTTTCTTAAATTAAGTCTAAAACTCAACTCGTTTATTAAAACAAACTGAAAAGTATCCAGAAATAGAAGTATAAATAGATCGGCTTTTTCTTAATGATGTAATCTCTTCGATAACTGTAATGAAACTTCATTGCTTTCTCAGACATACCGCGACCGCAAAGCCCTCGAGTACACCTGCCACACTGCTTTCTTCGTGTCTATCGTCGTAGTACAATGGGCTGACTTGATAATCTGCAAGACGCGCCGCAACTCGATCGTACACCAGGGAATGCGCAACTGGGCTCTCAACTTTGGCCTCATCTTTGAAACTGCGCTTGCTGCTTTCCTGTCTTACACTCCCGGCATGGACAAGGGTCTGCGGATGTATCCCCTCAAGTGAGTATACGACTCCCAGAGTTTGGTATCACTATAGATTACCGTTGCAGCCTGTTAAGGTCCACTGCTGCACACAGACCTCCCCATAGATTGCCTCATATGGGGGATATTTGCCATAGCTGCCACGCTTGGCAAGCGGGTTGGCATTTTTTAGTCGTTATTAAGAATACGCTGCTGCCCATCTCTTGATCTTTTTACCTCTGTCGCCTCTTACGACACTCACGCGATTATATGGTGTAGTGAATATTCATACGCCACCTATACACTGTAACTATAGATTGTTAGTTGATGTTTATAAGTTAATATTGTTTCGTTAAGTCCTTTAGCTGTTTTCGGGACACATCTTACCAGTATACAAAGGTTTGAAGTTTGCTTATTATTTTGTGCCTTATAACTCATAATCATAACTAAATCTTGAATAGATGGCGGTTCGACCCGGATAAGCGTTTATTAACATAATCTGTACTTGAAGATAAAACATTGCGCACAAAATTATCAATTTTTATTACCGATAACAACCTTAAGAACATGAAACCGTGTAGTAGCGGCGTAAAAATATTCACAACCGCATATCGTCCCGTTGCTGTCATAAAAGGCGACTGAAGAAACTGAAATAAGAGATGGCCAGCAGTATCTTCCTGATAACGACTCAAAAATTAAAAAAAAACTACGATTGCCAACCCGCCTGCCAAGCGAGGCAACTATGGCATATTTAATCATAATAAAATCTTTTCTGAAAGGAAGTCTTTAGGGAAACTTTTACGTGGTAGAGCCATGCTGCAGTTATATTAGTAGTATAGTTGTAGCACGAATGGGTCGGCTCGACCGGGGAAGGAACCACGCTCTCACAGAATACCAGCGTGAAATAGTAGCTTAATGCTGCTGTGTTTTGTATGGTGAGTGCAGAGAACCGGAGACCCTTTTTACTGGAAACGAGGCATTCCATCTTAGGCCTCACGGGTGACAACGCATCTGCATTTTGATTCGTAATCGGGGATGGATGTGGATGTCTATGGGCCACGGCAACCACTTACCATCAGGTTGACTGTGTGCTCGTTTGTCACCCTATCCTATAAAAAAGCAGTTGATTTTTTAGGCTTAATTTATTTATAGTTTTGAAAGCTGATCGATTCTCATTATACTCTGATGTACCGTTTAACTGAACAACTTGGCTGTCCACAGGTTCGTCTGGTGGTTGCCCGCAATTCCCTTCATGCTGTCGATCTTCATCTACGACGAGATCCGACGCTTCTACCTGCGCCGCAACCCGGGCGGCTGGCTCGAACAAGAGACTTACTACTAAGCCGCACCGCTGTCCACACCGTTACCACTGCGTACATGCGTTCATTTGTGTTCTTACAACAGACTGACAGAGGTTGCGGTGCCACTACACGTGTAATCGCTGTCGCGTACGCTTATCACCGCTTGTTACCGCATGCAACGGGCCGCCGTCATGCCGGCCACTCAGCCGCGTGACGTGTACACACTTATTGTTTTACGAACTATATGTATATATGCACAGTGGAGAGTTTGATATTTGTGACAAATAAACACGTATAATTTGATATTGTGGATCATGTTATTTTTGTATTGAAATGGTTTAAAGTTTCAATTGTGTAATGATAAATGAATCTCGCGTTATCGCCCTTGACGGTCGGCGCGGCGCGGCGAGCGACCGACTCGAAACCATTCAGTTCGCCTTCAATATAAACTTATAAGATAGTATTAAATTAACTAATGAAATTGTTTTTCACATACTTATATGATAAGTAATAAAATATCGTTTAGCCAGTAGATCATCGTTCGCCATACGCGTGGGCAGGAGTTCGACGCCCGCCGCGCCCATGCTCGGCGGCCAACGAAAAGCATTTGTTGTAAAATTACAGTTAAGAAGCCATTATTATTATTTAAGTGGACATTAGATTAAGTTGAATTTTTCGAGTGGATAATGTTTAGTTGACGATTCGGTGGGGTGCATGGCGTATGAGAGGTCGATGTGGAGTGCCTGAGTCTTAGTGTACTACCGCTTACTGTTAGGTAGGTAGTTGAAATTTTGATGCCGTATTTTCAATTGTAAACGTAGATAAATATAAAGCATTACACCGTCGCGAGCGCTTCGGGCCCCGCTCGAACTTCACAAGCACTGCCGTCGACTGTCGTCGCTCTACTCGCGTCCTCGCGCGACGCTTTTCCTTTTCTAAAAATAATCACATTACTAGATTTTGTCAAACTTATAAAATAGGCTGCTCATGGTAACTACGTAAGATTTTATTTCTTAATTAAATGATAATAAATAAAACGTAGGGATGCGTAATTAGAAATTTTTAAAATTATACAGTTATGAATTATAATAGAGTCATCTTGTTTTGCTCGCGCCTGGGCCCTTCTACGAACGCGAGCGTCGAAGACGCGTGGGGCCGCAGCCCGCTGGAGGGGCCCGGCGGGACGATGAATTTCAATTTTTCGTAACGAATACATATAACATTATAATAATGGTTACAAAAGTAAAATTTAACATTATAGCGACTAATAAATCTAAATTATATGAAATGTTTATAGATTTAAATGATGTTTGTTTCATTAGCGTGACCTCCTGTGCTTGTTTGATGATGTAACGTTGTCCATCTCATTGACAATAGTCGTTGATCATAATATTATTGTGACATGGGATATTTGTAAGCTGTTTGTTTGACGTACACTGTAGGACTAACATTGTTTTGCGTTCAACAGTTCTTTACACCGATTCATTTTATAGTATTACTCTGTTGGCTAGGAGCGCTGTAAAAATGTAAGTGTTAATAAAAAAACATTTTCAAAATATTATTGCGATGTTTCATTTCAAACAACACCTTTTATTTTATTTTCTTCCTTTTTTATCAGCCCGTAAAATTCCAATGCTGAAAATATGGCTCCCGCTTTAGGGAGGTTTCGTCTTTAATAATCACGGTCGATGGTTAATATATTTAGTATTTTTATTTCACGATGGCGGATTGGTCTAACTTGTAAGTATAGATGTACATGTTTATTGTTTTAGTGACTCCATTCCACCATCGGATCACTAGCTCGGCTGGTCTCCAATCCTTTGTTGTAGACATACCACGCGTCCGAACCAAACAGTTTGCTTCGTCGTTCATAATGCGTACTGCAAAGAAGTGGAATATTCTTTCTTCCGTCTTTTTATCTGATTATAATTTGGGTCTCTTCAAGGCAAAAGTGAATGGGCTTTTGTTAAGTCATTGCGCTTTACCATCTTCGGCTTTATCACAACTTACCATCAGGTGTGAAGTAGCCGAGCACTGGTAATAGTAAAAAAGAAGTGTGTGTAAGCCTGTGAATCAAAAAATATCGAGTACCGTCAGAACGGAAAGTAATGAAAGAAAAACTGTACAAAGGGGTGTAAAAATGTAATGTATGTGATATAATGCTAAGAAGCAGTGTTAGTTTGATTACGAGATTGTAACATGTGATTATTTAAGAGCAATCAAATGATCACTAGGTTGTATAATTTTTACAAGACTTCATGGCTTCGTGCGAAATGATCCAAACTGTGATTAATTACATTCGTTGTAAACAAAAAATAATTCTATTTCACTACGTAGCTAAACATACTTAAGTATCTTAAGATATTTTATTCAATACCGTTAGGAATAATGCTATCTGCAATTACGCACTCAAGCCCTTGTGTGAAACATCACAATTCACAACTACAAGTGAGTTCAACCGCCTTCGTGAGATTAAAAATCTATACCTAACATCTCACAACTTTCTGCTGCCACAGAATAAATAACAGTACCTACTACGTACAGATGTTGCACTCCTTTAATGTTGACTGCTTGTCGACGTTTTAATAGCCTACATAATTATTTATTAATTAGATAAATCGTGCATGCAAACTAAATAAAACTTTATCACTGCGCACGAGTTTACGTATTACTTTGCATCTTTTCCCCTTCCTACGTCACGGCGGTCTTTCCGTAGTTACTAAGGGCTGTCAATAAAGAGTGAAAAAATACATTTTGAAATGGTAACTTAGGTAAGGTTCTTTTTTGATGATTCTGACTATGATCGACTGATCATATTTTCGCTACTATGTGAGTTCTGTGATGCCCAACGCATGCAACTTGTAATTCACAGGCCATTCGTCGCGAAGAGTGATGCTTGACTAGGAATAAATAGGTGGGTAGTGTAAATAACAAACAAACCCGAAATACGATTCCTAACAGGAATGTGATCGTATTCTACTCAATTAAAAATCTTGTGCACAAAGTTTTAATTTAGTTTATTGAGCAGTGCAGATGCAACTAGTTTTATTGTACGCATAGAACCTCGTGATCTTATACTTTGACATTAGAATGCCTGCGTATGCTTACTACCCTTCAGTCCTTCAGTGTTGCTTTATGTATGTCTGAAACCATTTAACGTTTATATTTGAGAGTACCTACGGTGTAGTTTGGTCTGGCTACTAATTAATAGCCGCGTACACACCTAGCGCACGGGGTCGCGCGGCAGCCTCGCGAGTCAAACACCTCGGCTAGTGTGGACGTGCCTCGGGCGCACGTTGCGTCGGCCGAGCGCCGCCCGACCCCGAGCCATACGTTGTCTGTAACTGAACGTGCTCAAAGTTTACTCAGTGTTCGCTGTTCCTTTAGTGTGTACGGTGGTAATTTGGCTCGTGAGGCGATACGATTGTGTTCGTTTTAGTTTTACTGAAAAGTCACTTTAATAATATATGATAAAAGATTTGAAAGATATCACTGAATTGTAATTATAATACACATTGATCTTTGAATTTAAACAAATACTTATTTTTAATTTACCTTTACATAATCACTCAAGGCCTCAATAATAGCATCACAAACTTCTGGAATACTCTGTATTGCAGATATAAATACTCTGCTTCGATACTCGAAATAAATATTGCAATCTGCTATAACAATCTCCGGTTGCTAAAATCTTAAAGTTATAAAAACTCGTTAACATAAAGTGACTTACGACGAAGTTAACTCTATATTTAGTGTCGCACTTTTTAATTTTATCAGACAACAATGAGCACACATTTACAAATTCTTCTAGGGACATTCGTGTAAAATTATGTACAATCTGATCTAATGTTAAATCTTTAAGTAATTTAGGTATTTCCATATTGGTTGCGACGCACATAAATTTTTCTAATCCAGACGCGTCTAGGTCTGTTCTTAAAACGTGACTGTTTTTGTTATTTTAAACAATAAACAACTAAGAAAGTGGCTGCAGCTACAATTGAACAAATGTTCATTACGGATGCTCGATAACTTATGATGGCTCGGCCTGCCTCGCGAGGCATGCCTAGGAGTTCGGGACAAAACTACTGATGTTGCTTCGCGAGCCGCATACCGAGGCAGCCGCGCGAGCTCGTGCGCTAGGTGTGTACGCAGCTAATAACACATGATTTAACTAATAATCACAGACAGTGCCGGACTAAGCAAGTGCGGTGCCCGTAGCAAATACTATCGATTACCCTACGATAACCTTTATCTTCTGTGGGTCCTTAAGTCCTTAAGTATAAAGTGGTAAAAAACAATTCAATACGTCTATTTACAACCTGTAGGGTACAATTTTTTGTTGGGTAGATGGTCTAGTGGTTGTAGTAGTACGACTGCTGATCATGAGGTATCCTGGGTTCGATTGCCGGGTCGGGCCAAAAAAAAACTAATTATTGAGTTTTTCCGTCAGAAATTCTCAGCAGTTGCCCGGAGTCAGGAAGCCCCGTGCCTCGGAAAGCACGTAAAGCCGTTGGTCCTGCGCCTGATATCTCTCCGGTCGTGTCGATTTACCGTCCCATCGGATTATGAGAGTGCACCCGTGCTTGCGCATACACTTGGGCACTATAATCCTGTCCTGCGCCGATGGCTAACCTCCGCTGAGGCAGGCCGCCGTGGCCGAAATTCGGTCTGGAGGACATTATTAGATTCTGACAAGTACAAAAAGCCAGAGGTGATATTTGTCAGTTTAAAATGATTTTGATAAGAAACTAACAATTTGAAACTGACAATACTACACAAATAATCGTAAACCTTTATTAGTAAATATTTCAGTGTATATTTATTACAAAGTAGGTAAATAGCTAATAACATATTTTATCAATGGTGTATTTTATAGTACGAAAATATTTTATATTTATTTATCTGTTTCTTTTATTACTTTATAAACTTTTACAAAGTAACTTTTCTACCTAGATTTCATGTGGGCAAATTTAGAAATAATACTATCCGTATTAATTTTTCTTAGTAAATCATATTTTATATTCATCTGAGAGATAATTGT